CCCCCCCCCCCCCCGACCTCCTTCCATGGCATCTCTGATGTCCGTTCACAACGAGATGGTTGTTGGCATGTCCAAGTGGGGCAACCACACAAAGGGTGTACGTTTTCGACAGAGCACCAAAATTTTCCGACAAAATAGTCGTGGCGCTCGAAGCGTCTGCTTGGTAAACTTGTTCACGTATCTCTCGGGTCGAATCTTAAACTGTGATTCGCACAAGCGCCACGGACGCCAGTAGGAGTAGGGGCGTATCCGACGTGCTTGTTCCAGCGTCATGACCGAGCATAATTCCGAGTCGGCCACTCCAAAGGGTGAAGGCTAGTGAAGGCCATACATTGTAGCCGTTCAGGTTGAGGGCGTGTGCAGCTTGAGTCTGCTCCATCAAGACACACCTTACGAAGGTGTTTCCGACAATCACTCCAACACACGAGCACACATCCATATGGTCCGCTTGCAAAAGCAGGACACCGCGGAACCAATGCCTTCGATTCGTACACACCTTATCGTTGTATGATCTACGTTCCCCCGCACACATCGGAATAACTTGTGACGTCACGCACTCGTTTTCAATGCAACCCGGAGACCCAGAAAAAAAAAGGAAATCCCAACATTTTCCCACGGGATGCCTGCCGTTCAGAGACGTTGTTCATTCGCTGTCCATCTGTAGCATCCAAACAAAGCACTCCATCGTGTAGCGATGTCTTTCCTTATGGCGTGCTTGAGGGAGTGATTAGTGGACACTCCTTTCCCGGACGTAGCAGCAGTGGGGCCCCCGATAACGAATCCCCGCGTGTTCCCAGCGAATCGACCGGCGCTACTCAAATTACAGAATGACTTGGTGATGCAGTCTGTGCCCAGCAATTTGACCGGCCTTATTCTATGCAGGGCCGCCGGCGTTCTTCAATAGGCGCTGTTGAGGGCCCACCGCTAAGGAGAAACACCACCGCCACTACAGAGCGGGTCCGCAGTTGAGAAATATCTTGTGAAGAAACAGGGCTCAATTTTTCACCAAATATAAGAAATTGCGGTCAAGAAACAGCTCAATGAGTTGTGGACCCAATATCAAACACTACACATCAACCTGTGCTCGACCGCGGCGGTGAAATACGAAACTGAGCCTCGACCTGATCTTGCGTTTTTTATCTCCGTGCCCGTTCTGTAGCATACGATCGCTCGTTCCTTGACGGACGTACCTGGGCATTCGCGCCAGGCGTCGCGTTCTCCTTGGAAGCCATGTACTCGGTCAAGTGGGACATTCCAACCACGCTCACAACCGGCACCCCGCATTCCTCTTCCACTTGCTGCACCGCCGAGGTGGTGCCTATCACCGATTCCGCGCCTGTCTTCTCCTGAGTGAGTGAGGCATTGCAGCAGGCGCAAAGCGTGGGGACATCGTGGGCATACAGATATTCTCGATCTCGACTGCTGTCGAATAATTCTTCACGCTGGTGGTGTTTTCGTGCCACCACCATGCAGTACAGGGCACTTGGCCGGTTACATCATAGAAGCCGAAATCAAACCATTAGACTAGTCAGCAGTTGACCAGTCTAATCGTTTGATTTCGGCTTCCATAAAAGATGGTGGATTCAGTTTGATTTCCGCTCCTGTACGGTACTACATACTCACCAACAGCACAAGGCATTCAAATGAAGAGCAGAAAGTGAGGACAAACTGAACCACGTATGTACACTCTAGGATGAAAGCGACGCGCTGCATAGCTCGTTTGTTAGTAAACCATAATCGACTTCGTAAGTCGCGAGGGAAGGGATTGCTGTACCCTTCTCGCGATAAAAATACCTCAGGCATGAACCGCAGGAGGGGGTCCAACCCCCCCCTCCTATGTGACCCCGGTTGGGTCGTCTAGCTAGTAGAAGTGGAGGATAGGGGCCAGAGGGGCAGACGACAGAGTCCAATGATGGGAGAAAAACAAACAAAACAAAAAACTATTCACTTCAAACCAGTGGCGCTGACCAGTATTTCCTTCTCTCCTTGCCTTGCCTTCATACTCTGTTCCCGTGCGCAGCTGCAGTTGCTCGCTGCTATTTGTCTTACGCTGTGCGTTGGTTTCTTCCTTTATTGTGTCATATTCTTCTTTTCGTTATCTCGTTCGGTCCTTCATTCCGTTCTTTCGTTCTTTTATTATTCTCTTCGCCAATTTTGGTCGGCCCTTGTCGTTTTTTTGTTCTCTTCACCTGTTTCTTTATTCGAGCGAAGCGAGATTTCTAATCTTGCCTGAGAGGGCTCAGCGCAATATAGGGGCCGATGCAGGAAAAAAAGTGCGTGCGTGTGTTGTGTTCGCTTAAACTAGGTTTTAGAGTACAGGACTTGATTTGTGACTACAGGGCGCACTTTTTTTTTTTACACAGCAGAGCAGCAAACAGCAACAGCAGACAACACGCGCTCAGCGAGCAGACTGAACACACACGCACAGCAGACAACACGCGCTCAGCGGGCACAGCGACACACCAACAGCGCAGAGCGGACACAGCCACAGCGGCCTGCATGGCATGGCAATTGCATGATGAGTAGACGTCCGTTGGGGCCGATTGACCCGAACTCCCTCCGTGAGGCAGAGACGCACACAGACTCGCGGCGCAGACAAAGCCACGGGGAGAGGGAGCCCCTAGGC